TTATCCGGAAGATTATACAGATGTGACTAAAATATTTGGTGTAGATCTCGGTGGTCGCCGTATCATTAAAAAAGTTTCTGGGGAAGAGCTTTTTCCAAGTTCACAGATTAAAACTACAAGGAGGTTTCATCACCAGTGGTGACCAATTGAAAGACGTGCATATTTTACAAGTGTGGTTTGAACTAGAATGTGAAGCAACAGCCAAAATAATTTTAAATTGTCAATGTATAAAGAAGCATACAGGCAGTCCTCATTTAGTGATAAATTGGGATTGACAACTCGGTTGTTAATGATACAGTTACTGAATGGGGCAGTTGCTAAATGATAATCTAGTTAGATGCTTGGGAATAAATGAATTTAGGCATTATGTAGAAATCAAAAACGTAATACTTGTAGGAGAAGAGCAGGCAGAGTTGAGGGAATTATCAGCGAAGAGTTGTTAAAGTTCTCACAAATGGTCTTAAGTCAGGGATGTCAAGCGTCATGGCAGTGACGTATTGAGTCTTTTTTTCTCCTTAGCTAAATTGGGGTGGAGCCAGCACATGATGTATCTGACCCACAGCCCATGAGTGTGACACCCCTGGACTAAACCCAACCCCTCTTGAATTCCTTTGATCCTTATCTGGTGCCAATTTAATGTTGAACTTTAGTTGATTAGATACTTGTATATGGGAACTGCAATTTAATGTTTAAGCCTGACAATAATAATGTTATTTTAGATATAGCTAATGGCACATCAACTAGAAAATATATTTGAAGATTTTTTAAATTGAAAAACATGAATGTTTCATGAAGTTTATTAAGTAAATTTTAAAACTTATTGAGATTTTTCCATATTATTGCTGAAGCAGATTTAAGGCTATTCATCTTATTTTTGACAGAATAATGATACTGAGGATGAAGAAAGATTATGGAGAGACTTGATCATGGAGAGAGTCACAAAATCTGCCGATGCCTGTCTTACAGCTATCAACATTATGACATCACCCAACATGCCCAAAGCTGTGTATATTGAAGATGTAATAGAAAGAGTTATTCAGTACACTAAGTTTCACTTGCAAAACACACTTTATCCTCAGTATGATCCTGTTTATCGATTGGATCCACATGGTGGTTAGTATAAGAATAAATAGATATATTGATTATCCTGAAAGCTAATGGTATTTAAATTGTAGGTAGGCATGTTACTGTCTGGTTATATTGACAAAGAAACATGGAATTAGAGTAGGTACTTGAGCATTTCCCGTATGTAAAAATTGATCTTTGTTTTCATTTTTGAAAGGCTCAATTTCTGTGAATTTTGCTATAACTTTTTCCATTCATCAAATGTTCTATAGCTTGTTCTTTGCTATGCTGTATCGTGTTCAATTTTCTTTAATAAAATTAAGCTAAGCCCCTATTCTCTTGAGTTGCTGAACCAATTTATATATTAGTCTCCTACAGCTTAGAACTTTAATTTTTTATCTTTATTTAAACTTTCACTTGTTCTGTACCAGTAAAAACTTATTAGCAAAGTTAATGCTACCAAATTCTTAATTCATATATGCCTGTTTTTACAAATTGCCTTACTGTCATCTATAATAGTAGTCATTCTATTTTTAAACTATTAGTTTTAGTGACATTATTTTAGTTAATTTTATTTCAATCTCTTTTTTTCATGATGACTTTTGATTCCTTTTTCTAAAAATATATGATGAATAATAATTGATTAAAGGGAAAAATATAAATCTTAATAATTTTTTTTGTCTTTCCTCTGATTGGTAATATTGCTAAAATACAATTTGATTTGATTTTTTTAGGTGGTGTGTTAAGCTCAAAAGCAAAGCGTGCCAAGTGTTCCACTCATAAACAGAGAGTTATAGTGATGCTGTATAACAAAATTTGTGACATTGTTAGTAGTTTGGCTGAATTACTAGAGATACAGCTTCTAACTGACACTACAATTCTTCAAGTAAGTTGGATCTGTGTCATTCTGATTCTCTCCCCCCCCCCCCGCACTTTTTCCTACAACTTTATCTTTAGTAGGTATTTTAATAACTAAAATAGATTGTTCCCCACTGTTTAACAATAAAGCTTTAAACTGTTAGTCTGCTAGAGTTATTCAATATAGTAATGTGGAAACTCAGCTCTGAATATAATAAGAATAGACAAGTATAATTTTGAAGACTAGTAACCTATCTGGCTTTCTATCTGACCATTAATCTTGTAAAATATTTGGCTTTCTAACCATTGCCAACTCTCTAGATATTTACATCTGCCACCTCTTAACTTTATATTATGTTAATGTTCCTCTTATAAAAGGATTATACAGCGTTTGAACATACTTCTTTGTAATGTCATTTCCTAGGCTAATATGGAAGCACAGAAGTCCTGTAAAAATAAAGATAATTTATTTTTTCCCTTTCAATTAAACACTGAAAATTTCTTTAAACTTAGAATTATGTTTAAATTATGTGACACAACTACTTCATTTAAAAATATATACAATTTTAAAAGACAAACAATGATTGCATTTAACATTTTTTATCAGTTTCTCAGCCATAATGAATTTATTTTTTCTTTTTTATTAATAGATTTCTTCAACTGGAATAACACCTTTCTTTGTAGAAAATGTTAGTGAACTACAGTTGTGTGCCATCAAACTAGTCACTGCTGTAAGCATACTATTTAAACCAGTATTTAATTTAAAAATGATTTCGTATTTTCTGTATTTATGTATGTAAAACAATAAGGAATTCATGAGTTACTTAAATTATTTATATACCAAAACCAGTCCATTTTAAAACTGTAAACTGTAGGCCCTAAAAGCAATTGTAATTTTTAAAAATGCAGTGTGCAAGTGCCAGAATGTAGTCTATCTCTAGCATAGATTTTCCATTCAACAAAGAGTCATTCTAGTCATTGCTGTAGCTGCAGATTTCAAGATTTATCTGAATTACTTTAAAACATAGATATAAAAAAGCTAAATCATCTATAGGAAAATTGGCAATAGTAAGTTAACAAATTAATTCTACAGGGATGGAGCTAGTTAAGAACATACAATAGGATTGGTAGTTTATTGGGTTGGGGGAAACAGAAAAAAAATGTAATGAATTTTTCCATTGTATGCTTTTCCTTTATAAAGAACAATATTTTTTAAAAAAGACATTGATTTTAAACAGGTTTTCTCAAGATACGAAAAACATAGGCAATTAATATTAGAAGAAATTTTTACTTCACTTGCAAGGTTACCAACTAGCAAAAGGAGTTTGAGAAATTTCAGGTAATATATAACAGCAAAACACCTATTTGATGCAATATGTGTGTATGAACTTTTTTAGGGTTTAAAATGTGCTTACCTCTTCCACCGGAATATGGAAATGAATATATGATTAACTGCATTAACCCTGTATTAATTTCTGATGAATGGACAATATAAGGATTATTGAATTATAGTGGTGCAATAGTTAGAGCATGGTGGTTGTAGAAGAAAAAATATATTAGATGTGTTGGAGTAAAGAATCATACTTCGATTGTCACTCAGGCAGAATTGGGGCAGATTAGAGATTTTTTAAAAGAAACAAAATAAGTTCTACTTGTACTTTAGATGAATTAGTCAATAAACTTCAAAGTGATTTGTTTTGGTGGATAAATGGAAATTAAGTTAAGAATAACAGATTCTATCAGAGCAATGTAGTAAATACAAACTGCCTAGACTTGGTTCCATTTTTCCTGCTAGCTAGTTAATCGGTCTATGTCTTAGTTTAATCTTCTGCACAAGTACATTGAAAAAATAAAAAGGAGGAAAGAGAGATGAAACCTAGCTTTTAAACAAATGTGTTTTTCAGAAATATAAACAATAGTTGAAAACATATTTTTAATGTGAAGAATGCTTGAATTTTATTGTGAATGAAAGTATATTTTTTTTCATAAATTAATATTCCAGTCATATTCTAGGTTTTGAATATTTCACTCTTCTGGGATTGTTGAATACAGTAGCTTCCTATTTGCAAATCAGACCTGAAGTTTACTCATAGTAATGGAATGCAATCCTTTGTCCAGGGTTGATTCTGTCTGAACGCATTCACTATCTGAAAATTTGTAATGGATTCAAATGTTTGTTGTTGATTTTACTTTTGATAAACAATAAAGAGTTTTATATTTATTCAACAGATTGAACAGCAGTGATACAGATGGGGAACCCATGTATATTCAAATGGTGACTGCATTAGTCTTACAATTAATTCAGTGTGTTGTGCATCTACCATCAGGTGAAAAAGACTCTAATTCTGAAGAGGAATCAAATAAAAAGGTGAGTTAGTTTTGAAAATATGTAACTGCGCCTATGATTAGTTTAGCTATGTCTTCTAGAAATGCTGTATGTCTGTCCTTTCTTCCTTCATATTTATAACTTGCCCCAATTCTGAAGAATTCTGGGAGATGAATAATAACAAAGAACAGTATTATAACACTGCATAACAATAATATAAAACAATTATACACACAGAAATTATTGAATAAAAAAGTGACAGAGACTCTCAAATTTAAAAGGGCTGAAGGTTCACAGACAATGTAAATTACAGATTTGGTTTGTAAAATGTCAGTGTCAACTCGTAAAGTGTTCCTGGCCTGCTCTTGAGTTGCCATAGACAGGAGGGGAGAAAACTGACAGAGCAGCTTGAGGCTCATGGTTTAATTAGGGCATCCTTCGGAACCCTGACAGCAGGGTGAATTGCCTATACCTTTTGAATAAATTGCTCTAAAGATTGGAGGCTATTTTGAAGAATACCTGTCACCTGGTTTAATCCTACAGAGTGAGTGGGGAGATTATAGTCAGATCCTCTTCCCCATGGCCTGGCAAATTTAGTTTTGATGTACTTTGCCTAAAAGGACTTTAAAGGTAAAACCTAGCACAGTGAATTCAGCCTTGAACCTACTGGCAACCAGTGCATAGTTTTTAAAATTGTAGTTAGATTGCAATAACATGGTTGATTTACTAACAATCTAATTACTACATTATATACTAGTTTTGCAGGTATAAAATCATCTTATAACCCTATTTACAGTGTGTTATAATACTTCATTGTCTCAATGTAAAGATAAACATTTTTCCTAATTTACATCACAGCATTATTGCCATTTTGCTCCTCATCATTTATGGTGAGAACTATATATTGGATCTGCTATTGCATAAATTCCAATGTACATTTAGTAACTGTTCTGTTTTGTTTTAGATTGATCAGGACGTCCTCATTACAAATTCATATGAAACGGCTATGAGGACAGCACAAAACTTCCTTTCTATTTTTCTCAAGAAGTGAGTAGATCTCACATTGTATATTGTATATGTAGGACTTATTTTTATTGAGTAACTAATTTATCCCCATGGAGTTTTGTTTAATATTTTAAGACAATATGGAAATGGGAAACAAGATAGAGATAGATCTTAATTCTAATTGAACTTTTGCTAAAAGTAGTGTAGAAAATTAAGCTGATAGCTTCAAAGAAAATATTAAAGCTGGAGATAATTTAAATTCAATACTTAGAAATAACATGCTAACTTGTAATTATTTTTCTTCTTTAAAATTGAAAATGTTGTAGGTTTTGATCATTCATCAGAATACTTTTTCAACACTATTAACAGTGATCACTGTTATCATGTATAAATATTCAGAAAATGATTGACTATATGATTCTGTAGCCTAAATATCGTTCCTGTCTTGACTCACTATTAAAATTCAAAGTTATAAAACATACATACAGGTAGTTTTCAACTTGCAACCATTTGTTTAGTGACCATTCAAAGTTACAAAGACACTGGTAAAAGTGACTTATTAACTGGTTTTCAGACTTATGACCATCAGCATCCCCATGGTGATGTGATCAAAATTCTGGCTCTTGGCAGCTGACATGTATTTATAATGGTTGCACTTTCTGGGATCATGTGATCACCATTTGCAACCTTCCCATCCAACTTTGAACAAGCAAAGTCAGTGGGAGAAGCCAGATTTGTGTAACAACCCTATGATTCACATAACAACTGCAATGATTTGCTTAACAGCTATGGCAAAAAGATCAAAAAATGGGGTGTAACTCACTTAACAACTGCCTTCAGCAGTTGGATTCAATTATGGTTGTACTTTGTAACTTTACCTGTATAGTTCTCATTGAGAAATAAGTGTCATAAGTAATTAGGATTCAATAAATTAATTGCATTAGTATTCTATAAGTTAAATGGGGCACCACTGAGGTTTTTTTTTTCTTCTCTCATTTTTGGAATAAGAGTTTCTGCAACAGATTAAGTGTATGCAGAAGAGTTCCTTTGGCAATGTGAATAATGAAATTCCTGTTTTTTCTACATGTGTGTCACATATTAGTTATACATCACTTTGGGACCATTTGGAACTTTCTAGAGCTTTTCTGATGGAATCATGCCTACAATTGTACCATGTGACTAGATTTTGGGTCCTATTGATCAGGGTTTTTTAAAAAGTGCTATAGTATTAACATATTCTTGATAAATAAAATAACTTTTTGTTTTATTGAAATTCTTTATTTTTTTTACTACTTGTTGGTAAGATAGAAAAATGTGGGATAGACAGCATCAACACAAGATGGATTCTTAACAGGCTGAACAACACACTTAAGGTGTAGTCCTCAATGGAATTATATCTACATGGAGGGAAGCATGCAGTGAGATTCTGTCTTAGGCCCAATACTCCTCAACATTTTCATAAATGACTTAGCAATTCTCTATAGTCCATGGTTCTACTACCATTCAATTTGTTCTGGTCCTTCTGCTCTATCCCCACGGAACTCTTCACTGGCTGCCAGTTCATATACTGATGTTTTTTTTAGGTCCTTCCACATTTCCCTTATATCTGTCTGCTCTTATTTATCTGTACATCTCTGCTTATTTGTTGCAGGTAGTCCTGGACTTACAATCATTGTTTAGTGAATATTTGAAGTTACAACACCACTGAAAAAAGTGACATGACCCTTTTTCACACTTGTGACTGTTGTAGCCTCACTGTTGTCACATGATCAGAATAGAGGCACTTGGTGACTGGCATATATTTATGACAATCGCACTGTCCCAGGTTCATGTGACCACCATTTGTAGCCTTTGTTACAAAACCAGGTCCAACTTTAGGACCTGGCTCTTCTGAAGGAAGGAAAATTCCAGAAGACAAGTGCTATGACAGAAAAGGCCCAACTATTTCATTTCTTAGCTAGATGAGACCTTAAGCATGCCTATCTTGCCAGACTGGCTAAGACTGGTACGAACAACTGGGGAGAGGTAATCCTTTAAATAACTCATTCCCAACTCATGAAGGGCTGTAAAAGTGAAAAGCATCATCTTGAATTACATCTGGAAGCACACCAATAGCCAGTGCAACTCACAAATCTGTGGTGTCACAGGCATTGAGTAGATCCCTGGCACCAGAAGGTCCAAACACCCAAAGCTGCTCAGTCTTGCTTAGGTTGAGCCCCGGGAATATTGGGAAGGAACTGGGCAAAAAAAGATTGAAAGTAGGACATTGTTATATTATCCTACTCTCATTAGGATTGGTATTATTTTATCTTATCATAGATATATGCACACTTTGCAGTAGAATATTATGTTCTTTTGTTTATTTTAGTTTTAAATATTGGCTTTACTTATTTTTTTAATAAAGTTTTATTGGGTTTTAACAAAACATAACAAATAAAACATCTTATTTGAGTACAGCATGATTCCGGGTTATCACATTTCCACACAGACACAATTTCATATGCATATATATCTTATGTCTTCAACTTCATATCTTATCACTCTTTTTCCAACTTCTCACTATTTCTCCCTTTACTTCTCTTAATTTTCTTTTATAGTTATCTCATTTTCTTCTTATTCAATTGCATTTCTTTTGCCTAAATTTCTATATATTTTTATTCATTATACTTATACTTTCATCTGTCTTGTTTACAATTTCATATATTCTCTTCCAATATAATTAAAAAGCAAAATTCCCCCTATGATTGCCAATCGGAGTGCAACACCTTTGGATCTTATAATTATTATCATACGAAATCTCATTAAACATTAAATTTGTGCATTGTAAAATTATAACATTCAAATTTCTAATATCTATTTTATATCATGTAACTCTCATCATTCAGACTCTGCTTGGTACTTCCCCTTGAAAATACACAAAGAAAAATTCTAAGAAAATAGCAAATATGTATGTATGTATGTATGTATGGTATTCAGCTTTGTTCGAGTATTTTCCCATGTCATTGTAGTTGTGCTTTTAAAGTTGTAGCAATGTTTCGGCAGAATCTCATCTGCCATCATCAGGCTTCTGTATAGTGTTCATCTGTGAGTCAGACTTTTATAGTGGTTTCAGATTTAAATTTGGGGCAGCCTATTGCTGTGCCAGAATGGTTTTTTCTTCATCCTGATTGGTTGGGAGTCTTGGTCTGTGTTTATTAGTCTTGGAGTTTGCTGTGTTCTGCTTGATTGGTGTTTCTAATATCTTTTGTCTGTTTTGGGGCTCTTTTTGTATCTTGATTGGATGGCAACATTGTATTCCTTTATTGGAGGCCTTTAGTGCAGCTTGGCTCCGGGTAAATAGACGGCTATCATTTGTTAGGAAGCTAGGTTTCATCTGGGTGCCTGGTTGGGGTGTGTTTGAGCTGGAGGTATCGGGGGGATCTGTTTGTGCCCAGGTGCTTGTCTGGCTAGTGGTGTGGAGATTTTTTTGTTTGTGAGTGCAGACTTCTAAATAATTGACAGTCTGGTGGAATCATCTCTTCTATTCATGCTTTCTAGTCTTTTTTCAATCTCTATGGCTTCTCTGATGATTCTGTGGCTGGGGTTTTCTATAGTGGCTAGGGTTTTGGTGCCATTGAAGTTGATGCTATGACCTGTGGCTTCCATGTGTTGGACTAGTGAGGAAGTGTGTTCCAGCTTTTTGACTGCATTTTTGTGTTCATCCAGGCGGGTACTTATTCTTCTATTGGTCTGTCCAATGTATGTGGCTGGGCATGATGCACAGGGGACTTCGTATATGCCTTGGTTTTCCAGGTCAATTTTATCTTTGGGGTTTTCTAAGGATGGCTGCTATTTTTCTGTCTGTTTTGAAGGCAGTCTTGATGTGATGTCTGTGTAGTACCTTACTGATTTTGTCTGTAGTACCTCTTATGCAGGGCAGGACAGCTGTTCCATAGGTCTGTTCATCTTTTGGGTCTCCATTATGTCTCAGTGTGTTTTTGTGGATCAAGCTGGTGATTTTGCGGAAGCCGTTGTCAGTACTTTAGTCAAGGTGCATAGTTCAGTCTTTATGTGTGTCTTGTCTGCCAGGCGTTTGGTTCTAGCAATTAGTGTTTTAGCCACCGAGTTTATCTGTGCTGGGTGGTGGTGGGATTGGGCATTGAGGTAGCGGTTGGTGTGTGCTTTCTTCCGGTATACAGTGTGTCCTAGTGTGCCATTTGTTTTTTTGTAGATTAATACATCTAGGAATGGTAGTTGTTTGCTTGTTTCCATTTCTATGGTGAACTTGATTTTGGGGTGTGTGCTGTTTAGGTGTGTTAGGAAATTGTTTAGGTTTTCTTTTCCATGGGGCCAAATCACGAATGTGTCATCAATGTATCTTAACCATAGTTTGGGTTTGAGGATGGCATTGGCCAGGGCTCTGGATTCGAATTCTTCCATGAACAGGTTTGCAATGACGGGTGACAGTGGTGATCCCATAGGGGCTCCTTCAATTTGTTTGTATCTTTGTCCTTTGTATATGAAATATGTGTTGGTTAAGCAGTGTTCTGTTAGTTCTACAAGGTGTTTAGCTGGTTGGTATTTATTTTTGATGATTTCAAGGGTCTCTTTTATCGGGACTTGAGTGAATAGTGAAACCACGTCAAAACTTACAAGCAGATCTTCTTGCTCCACGTGTAGATCTTTGATCATTTCTAAGAATTTCTATACAGAAGCCTGATGATGGCAGATGAGATTCTGCTGAAACGTTGCT